AGGCTGCACCACGCAGGTGCCACTTCTAAATGTTTTGCACATGCTGGCGAGGTTTTTCGGGGCTTTTTTTTTCCCCCCCACCCCAGTACTCAAATCAATTATCCCACAGGATGGACTAATTAGTTGCCAAAGGTTATTTCTAAATGCATCTTTGACATAGTTGTATGCCACATCTGCTAAAAAAAAAAAAAAAGTGTCTTAAATGTGTCTTTGAATAGTTTTATGTTCATGGAACAAAAATTTGGACTGTTTATTATTTTTACTTAAAAAGTTTCTCTGTTGATACCGTGCGTTTCAGAAGGTTTTCATCTCAAAAAGTAGGGTTTTTGGCAGGGGGGTGTAACAGGATAATTATGAACCGTCGGACAACAGGGGTCTTTTAATGGAAACGCTGAAGGAGCTGGCAGCAGCGCGGGGAGGAGAGGTTGGAAGGCGGCGTGTTCGGAGCCCGTTTCAGTCCTCAAGCAGTACACGCAGCAGTGCTGTACCAATAACTGGAAGCTGTTTTTTATTTTTTTCTGTTTGTTTGTTTGGGGTTATTATTATTTTATTTTTTATTTTTTTTTAATTTGACCACAGGAAGGCTTTGAGGATGGCCTCTGCATGGTTCCTAGTGTGTGCTGTGTGCTGGGGGCGGGGGGGGTTCCGATACCTGGGTTTGCTCTAGGCTCCTTGAGATGTGTTGTGGGGTTTTTTTGGCTAGCATGTCTTAAATCTTCAGGCTTTGAAACCGCTTTATAGAATTGTGTTGACTTTTTTGTTCTGCTGTTGTTCAGTTGCACAGAGTTTTATATATATGATGTACTAGTTTTAACGTTGATTCTCTGTGAACAGGGTTGAGATTATTCATTGTAGTTTTAAAAAAAAAAAAAAAAAGTTGTATTCTAAAACTCCCTTTTAAAATCTTGTTTGTATTCTGTTGCAGTGTTACCAGATGGCCTTATGTACGTCACAGTGTTTTGTGATAAGTACAGTAGCACATTTAATGCTTATCTCCCCCCCCCTCTGTTTTTATAGCTGAGAAGTATATTCTTAATAATAGAGATGAATAAATGGGAAAATTTTAGCAACATTTATGGGAAGGAGAGTGGTTGTCTCCTCTAATGTGTATTAGGGCAGCTGGAATTAATCTGGGGCTGAAACGACTCTGAAAAGGGTTCCTTAACCAGCATGAGACTTTGTCTTGGGAATTCTGAGAATCTGTGAGCGAGCCGATGGCAGATTTGAATCGTGTGCCAGAAGCTTGTAAAGCAGAGCGGATCTGGTGGCGTCACCGCAACCGGTCCCACTTACACCGGCTGAGAATCTGGCCCTTGCAGCTTTTTGTCTATGGCGCAGATGGAGTCAGGGGAGGGAAGTTTAAGCTATGTTTTGGAGGACTTAAGCAACCTCATCAGCTGTGGTAAGGTGGGATGGTTCCGCTTATTTTTAAAGTGCACATCTGTTTTGGAAAGCGACTTTCTGATGCCTTTAGTGTTGACTCCTCAATTGAATTTCTAGGTTAACCTGGGTTCTTTGCAAATCAGCAGGATGATGGCTGCAGTGTTTTTTTTATAAGACAGCAGCTATGCCATCCCCGCTTGGGGCAGGCAGTCATGGTGGTTAACTTACTCTTGACTCTGGAATGGATTCCATTTTACTTGCCTGTAATTTTAGTAGGACCAGCAGTGGTAAAAATGACATTGAAAGCAGCAGAAATAACATTTGCAGTTATTCTTCCCAGAACAGAAGTGCATTTTATATATATATATATATTTATATATAGTACCAAGTCAAGAGACAAAGCAAGTTACGTTGTAGTGAGTGTCTAACTTCCTACACTGGAGACTTTTTCTAGACACGGTCTTTTCGAGACAACTGTAATCTCCCACCGCTCTGGTGCTCTTGTTACAGTTGGGTAAACTTGCCTGGCAGAGAATAGCTTCTCAGTCTAACTTCTTTTGAAAATAATACCTTATCATAAGAGTATCTTAATGCCATTGTGTTTAAAAAAAAAAAAATGCTGGTATGTAATGCAAGTACATAAATAGCCAAAGTTTTCAGTAATTGTTCAGTGTTACTAAATTTGCTTTTATTTAACCTTCCGAGATAACATGTTAGGAAGACCTTCGGCATGTTGATATCATAGTGATAAAAAAAAAAAAAAGTCTGATCAACTTTATTATAGCAGATATGCAGTTATTATTTGAACACATTTCAGGTTTGAATACAATTTGGAGGCAAAGTTCTAAGATGCAAAACTTACTTTGGAGGAAGTGCACTGTAATGACACTTCAAAGTAACAAATGCTGCTTTTAAAGAGCGGCGCATTGGCGGTTGTTACTCAAACATAATGAAGGTCTTTCCTGAGAAATCAGGTGACTTTTCTATTGCTTCGGTTTTTGTGCAAAAAAAAAAAAGAAAAAAAAAATCAATGTATTGCAATCTTTTTTAAAAATGGGGTGGGAATAGTTAAAGAAAACTATTTTATGTAAGAACTGACAGAGGGATTTGCTTTGTATAATGCAAGCTGGCTTTAAAAAAGCATTGTAGCAAATTATTCAAGTCAATCATATGTTAATAGTTATGTGCAACCAGACATGCAAAACAATTGTATTTTTTTAAATAAATATTTTTAACAAAAGTTTCTGATCTTTTGACTGGGGTTTTTTTTTTTCAGTAGAGGAAAGTGAAAGTTACAGCTGCAGAGATTGAGAGGAGGGAGCTCACCAGACCTTGGCCAACCTCTCCCTTCGCAGCAGCGCTCTCACCTCTTGCTGGAGCGGAGGCAGACGGCGTTGCTGGTGCCAGCCCTGTAGTGCTGCACAGCCTTTTTGCCAAATCAGGTACTGTTCTCTTCTGGTGAAAAGTCCCTCTGCTGAGTAGCTCCATTCTCTATATGGTGCTGATAGCGAATCATAGAATCATAGAATGGTTTGGGTGGGAAGGGACCCCTAGAGGTCACCCAGCCCAACCCCCCTGCAGGAGCAGGGACACCTTGAACCACATCAGGTTGCTCACAGCCCCGTCCAACCTGGCCTGGAATGTTTCCAGGGATGGGGCCCCCCCCCCCGCTCTGGGCAACCCCTGCCAGGGTTTCACCACCCTCACTGTAAAGAATTTCTTCATTAGATCCAGTCTAAACCTCCCCTGCTTCAGTTTAAAACCATCCCCCCTTGTCCTGTCACAGCTGGCCCTGCTAAAAAGATTGTCCCCCCCTTTCCTATGGGCCCCCTTTAAGCACTGAAAGGCTGCAATCAGGTCTCCCCATGGAGATTTGAATTGTCAAGTACGCTTTTAACCAAAGAAATGCAATAGCATTTAGCTACGTGTCACCAATCTGCAAGGACGTAACAAGATGACAGCCCCCAGTGTGATATATCTGTACTCTGAGCAGACTTCTTTCAAAATAAACTCCCTCATTGTATTGTTTTGTGCTCATTTCCTCCGTGCAGGGATGGAGAGAATGCTGTCATGGTGGGAGGGGCTCTATTAATGACAGATCGGGGTTTTCTTTGCTGCAAATGGGTTTTGCAGTACACCACTTTTTTAATTCTGGGTATCCCAAGGAGATTAACAGTGGCATCCTGTGGTGCTAGAGAAGAACTACAGCACGCGTGGCCCTGGCTGGGAGGCTGGAGGGCTCCTGAAGGCCCTGGATGAGTTAAGCCCAGGATTCAACTCCATTTACCTCCTTCCTGCATTGGCCTGTCGTGCACTCAGCTGTAGGTACACAAAATCAATTAAACAAGTCTACTCCCTTGAGAGTTTTTTTTTTCCTACAGAACCACCCCTGGGAGCTTGTGAAGGTATTTTATGGAAGGTAAGATCTACTGCTTGGAAAAACAAGTGCTAAACCCTGTTGAACTTAAGCAGCTATTAGATTCAGCCTAAGTTTGAAAGCCAGACCTGGCAAAGGTGCAGCTGATTGGCCCAGACTATCAGAAACAGCTTAAATTACCTGAGTCCAGTCATGCTGAGAATCTAGCAATCAAATCACCTTTAATTAAACACTGCTTTATATACACACGTACATATGTACATCCACATACAGCAGTTAAAGCAAAAAGTAACATGTCCAATCACTCACTGAAGAAATAGATGTATGTAGCTTTACACTCTTCTAAAGCCCGTCCTTTCTTCGTAGCTTGTAATAGGGCATGCGTGGGTTATAAGAGTACCTTACAGAAGGCACCTGTATAATAAGTATTGCACAGATTAAGCAGCTGGAGGCTGGCTCCCAAATACCTCGGTTTAAGCTTCAACTGGAAGCTAAGAAATAAAACCACCCTAAAAAGACACTGCGACTGTAGCAGCTAAACTAGTGACTTAAAGCAAAACAAACCATCACAACTCATTCTTGACTCTAAAATAAAAAAAAAAAAAAAAAAAAAAAAAAAAGCAGCTAGTGATTTTAATAATCAAAGAGGCCCTAGCATGCTGAGTAAGACACTGTCTTAGTGAACACGTCTGATGCTGTGTGATACACAAGAATCAACTGTGCAAATAGAGATAGGTTCTGCTACCACTGTGCGCTTGGTGGGTTCTACCAATTGTGGCGCTTTTTTCCCCTTTGGAAGCATACCTGGAGGTGGCGTAGACTCGAGTCAGTGTTGCACAAAAATGAATTCAAATTCAGTATTGTGCTGGAAATCGTAGGGGCTTCTGTACATTACAGGCCAAAAGAAAAATCTGTTAAGTTCAGTGACTAAGCCAGGAGAGATTCAGTCTTTCTTACATACGGGACAGAGAGCACCTCTTCCTTCCCACCCTCCATCCTCGATCGGTGAGAAAGTTCATTTGCAGGAGCAACTGTCCTCCCATCATCCCTGCCATACGCTGTAGCCTTTCAGACACGGGGGTCAGTCTGATGGTTACAGTCATCTTTTTGGTACACGTGATGTGGGCAGCTTGTGCTTAGCTTGAGGCAGTGGTTTAGGATGTTCTCTTGATTCTGACTTACCCAATCTAATGTGCTTTTGATTGCAGAGAACTTGCATGATTCAGTCATTAAATGCGAAATCATCCTTTATAGTAATGCTTAATTGTGTGTTGTTTTATTGCTTGGCTAGGACTTGGCCACTTCTTTAGCGCTGATACTGTCCAGTGTCATCCATTACTGCTGGTTTGTCAGGTGAGGCATCATCCATATCTGCAAAGAGATATTTCATTAGGTGTTTCATCTGAAGGCACCGATTCTATTGAGCTTTAAGGGAATGTGCCCGAGCTCTCCTAAGCCTGGATAATTGCTATTCCATCACCCACCACGCTAGCTGCTTTACTTCGCTGCTCATGGAAGAGGTGCCTCCATTTCCAGTAACCTGGACAAGTTTTTTTGCCTGTCACTCAGCGCTCCTTTTACAAAAGGTGCTTACAAAAGCAAATAGCAGACCGAGGCAATACGTAAGAGAAATCCCTTATCGGTCAGGCTTTTCTCAGCAGCTGCCTTTGGATGGCAGACCCGCTTGTTCCCTGGATTTCAGCCAGGGAACAGCGTAGGGAAGCTTGTGCAGTCTGTGCTAGGAGGACTGACTTACTCCCATAGCTCTGCAGGAGCACGGTAGTGCTTTCACCGCTAGCAGCCCACGTGCTTTTACAGCTCCTCTGTGATCCGCAGCCCATTCCTACTTTTTCCCTTGCTTCTCCAACAGAAAAGAAAGCAAACCCTGCGTTGTGGCTGCCAAGGCTTTGTGGGCAAGTCAAAGCAGGAAGAGGGGACAGGAAGCAGCGGTAAAATAAACATTTCCTTGCATTTTGCTGAAGTGCTGCACCCTGGTTATGTATTGAGGCATATGCTGCTCTTCCTCTCATTATACAGCAGGGCTGAGCGCTGGTGCTTTCTTACCTGATGAGGGCTTGGGGTACATCCTGTGGAAAAACAAGAGGAAGGCGTAGAAGGTAAAGGCCAAGCCTCCAAAGATCATCCCACAGACCAGGAAACTGTAGCTGCCCTGATCATGTATAATCTGCAATTGAAGGGGAAAAAGAGGGAGCAGACATGGCACCATAGCACTCAAATCCCTAATCAGCATTCAGTACGAGCTTTGCTCTGTGATAGCTCAAGGGTAATGCAGTGCTTTTTTCCCAGCAGCTGTCCAAAACCAGGATGAAGGTCCCCACTTCAAAGTCCTGGTCAGATTTTTGGCATGCCTTGCCCACACTTACCGATCCCACCAGTAACTGTAGTACCATCTCCCCAATTCCAGCTCCGGTCACCAACACGGTTGTAGCACAGCCTGCAAAGAAACAGTGCAAGTGGTGTTGGCCGGTGAAACAGCCGGCAGGATCAGCCTGGAGCATCTTTAAACTGCACTGTCATGGATCTCTCCATACAAGATGTACAAATGCTTAGCGTGTGTTCCCATCTAATGTTGGGAATGCCTCTTCTAACCTGCAGTACCGCAGAAAGGTAAAGGTTTAAGCCAAAAAAACCATCTCCTGCTCCGTCACTCGTCTCTGGTGGCAGAGGTGACGTTGTTCCTTACTTGAAAGATTTTCATTCTTCGGTATTGCTGCCCCAGAGACAGAGGTTGGCAGAGCCCTCCTGTAAGAGCTGGCCAAACTCTAGGATTTTCAGCTCACTGAGAATCTGGAGGATGTTTTCAAAACTCTCTCTCTCTGTAAGCCTCTGGAGCAGATATTCTTGTCAGTCCCTGAGAGCCCTAAAGCTGCAGGAACCCAAGAACCAGTCTGGATCCCTGCCTGTAGAAGTTCTCAGTACAACAAAGCCAGGATGCGTGCAGTCTGGTTGTCTGACTACAAGCGTGAATAAACATCATATTCCAAAGTAGATCTTTCTTCCAGGCCTCCTGGGCATCCCCAAGGAGGGAAGGGGTTGTTGGGTGTGATGGTAGCTGAGCTCTAGTCTTGAGCACCCACCCGCTCTCGAAGCCTGCCGGGCATGCCCGCATCCCAGCTCACCTCGGTACTGCAGGATGTCCTCGGTGTAGGCGAGCATGCTGGGGAAGGTGCTGCTGAGGAACAGCCCCAGCGATGCCGTCCCCACAAACAAGAAGACAACACTGTAGGAGAAAATCAGGAGCAGGAGGAAGGTTATTAGGACTCCAACCTGTGAACGACACGCACAGAGTCAGCAGGA